CACAAGCGGCGGTCGAGACAAATCCAACATTAAATGCTTCAATTGCGGGGTATACGGGCACTTTCAGTCGGAGTGTCACAAGCAACGCCGCAACCATGAACAGGAGGCTCATCTCACCCGTGCATATGACGAGGAGCCAACCTTGATGATGGCTATGTTAGAGGAATCGTCAAGTATCATTTTGCTTAATGAGGAGAAGGTGATGTCGGATTTACTTACAGCGGGGGAGGCACATGTTGACAACAACACTTGGTACCTAGACAATGGAGCTAGCAATCATATGACCGGCCACCGAGGCAAGTTCAAGGAGCTCGACGAGAACATTACAGGAACCGTCAAGTTTGGTGATGGATCCGCGGTAGAGATCAAGGGGAAAGGCTCTATCCTCTTTCAGTGCAACAACGGCGATCAAAGGCTACTACCTGAGGTATATTACATTCCGAGTTTGAAATCTAACATTATTAGCTTGGTCAGATGACTGAAGATGGGGAGTAAGGTTGTTATTGCTGACGAGTTCCTGAGGGTGTTTGATAGGAACGGTGCTCTCTTGATGAGGGTGACACGTTCAACTAACCGATTGTACAGGATAGAGTTAAAGACTTGCAGGCCGGCGTGTTTGATGGCGAACATTAACGATCCAGCTTGGTTATGGCATGCTCGCCTTGGGCATGTAAATTTCTTCGCCCTCAAGATGATGACTGAAAAGATGATGGCTTCCGGGTTGCCGAAGATCTTGCACCCGAATCAACTATGCGAAGGATGCCTTGTCGCCAAACAAGCAAGACTGTCGTTCCCTTCGCAAGCAAATTTCAGAGCTCAGAAGCCGCTGGAGCTACTACATGCTGACCTTTGTGGTCCTATCACCCCATCTACACTTGCTGGGAACAACTACTTCCTTCTTATCGTTGATGATTTCAGCCGATGGATGTGGGTATGCATGTTGAAGGCCAAGAGTCAAGCTTGTGAAACCTTCAAGAAGTTCAAAACAGAGGTTGAGAACGCATCTGACCACAAGGTGAAGACATTGAGGACGGATCGTGGTGGCGAGTTCTTGTCAAAGGAGTTCACCAAGTTATGTGAAGACTACGACATCAAGCGTCATCTCACTGCACCATACACCCCGCAGCAAAACGGTGTAGTGGAGAGGCGTAATCGCACGGTGATGGACATGACGAGAAGCTTACTTAAAAGCATGCATATGCCTGGAACCATGTGGGGCGAAGCGGTTAGGCACGCGGTGTACATCCTCAACCGACTACCAACCAAGGCGTTGCACGACCACACACCTTACGAAGCTTGGTTTGGTAAGAAACCCCACCTAGAACACTTGAGAGTTTTCGGATGTGTGGCGCATGTGAAAATTGCAGGTCCTTCACACAAGAAACTCGACGATCGGAGCACACCAATGGTGTACATTGGGGTAGAGGAAGGAAGCAAAGCGCATCGTCTTTACGAACCTCAACATAGCAAAATACGTGTCAGCAGGGATGTCGCGTTCGAGGAAGGAAAAGAATGGCAATGGAGCGCGGATGGAGACGTAGAACCACTCAGCTGGGTAGAGTTCGCAGCGGAAGAGGAATCAACAGCGGGCGGCACAGCAGCCGGCGCAGCAGCCGGTGCATCTCCTGCAGTCCAAACTGGACAGCAGGCAGTCCGGTTTTCTGGACAGCAGAAAGTCCAGTTTGGACTGCCAGCAGCCGGCCAGAACAGCCCACAAATTGGTGCTGGTCCGAGTACAGTAATTGCAGCAACGATCCCCGCCGTATTGGAGCCGACGAGAGGCCAATCTGGGCAGTTTTCAGACCGAACAAAACCACCTGCAGCTGGCCGAGACAGTCCACTGTCTGCTGCAGGTTCCTCCTGAAGCTGCAGTGATGACTCCTGTACGCTACCGATCCCTGGCGGACATCTATGCAGAGACGGAGGTGATTGATCTTCCTGCAGAGGAATTGTTCCTGATTTCTGAAGAACCTGCGAACTATCTCGAGGCTGCATCAGATCAAGAATGGCGGACAGCTATGGAGAAGGAATTGGAGGCCATCGAGAAGAACAAAACTTGGGTACTCACGGAGTTACCACGGGGTTCTAAACCTATTGGTCTCAAATGGGTGTCCAAGCTCAAGAAGGACAATGAAGGCAACATTCTCAAGCACAAAGCAAGACTTGTAGCAAAAGGGTACGTCCAGCAGCAAGGCGTGGACTTCGATGAGGTGTTTGCACCTGTGGCGAGGCTTGATACCATCAGAATAATCCTCGCTATATCAGCACAGAACGGGTGGGAGGTGCACCATTTGGATGTGAAGTCGGCATTCCTAAATGGTGATCTCCAGGAAGAAGTGTATGTGGTTCAACCTGAAGGGTTCGTTGTGAAGAATCAAGAGCACAAGGTCTACAAGCTTTCAAAGGCACTCTACGGTCTACGCCAAGCACCTCGGGCATGGAACACGCGCCTCGACAAGTGCATGAAGGGCATCGGATTTGCAAGATGCACTCAGGAGCAGGCGGTATACACAAGGAGTAACAGAGGGGATACACTCATTGTTGGCGTGTACGTAGATGACTTGATCGTTACGGGCTCGAGGGCGGACGAGATAAAGTTTTTCAAGCAACAAATGATAAAGGAGTTCGAGATGAGTGACCTTGGATTGCTATCCTATTGTCTTGGTATCGAGGTGGATCAGCGAGATGATTGCATTGCACTAAGGCAGACAGCCTATGCGAAGAAAGTTTTGGGTCAATTCGGCATGATGGATTGCAACCCGACACAATATCCCATGGAAGCCTATGCGAAGAAAGTTTTGGGTCAATTCGGCATGATGGATTGCAACCCGACACAATATCCCATGGAAGCAAAGCTAAAGCTTGTAAAGGATTCTGAAGGAACACCGGTGGACGTGACAGAGTATAAACGCATCATCGGATGCTTAAGGTATCTAACTCACACCCGACCTGATATCACATATGCCGTGGGGATTGTGAGTAGGTACATGGAGCACCCTACAGTTTTGCATCGACAGGTTGTCAAGCATATTTTGAGGTACGTGAAGGGTACTATGTCCTACGGATTGGTGTACAAACGAGGTCGAGGCAATGAAGAGTTGGTGGGATTCACTGACAGTGATCTCCCAAGCCGGTTACACTCTTCGTCGACAACAAGTCCGCGATTGCCTTGATGAAGAATCCGGTTTTCCATGGAAGAAGCAAGCATATTGACACACGTTTTCACTTCATTCGTGAGTGTGTTGAGCGAGGACAGATTAAAGTGGAGTTCGTGAGCACGAGCGAGCAGCGAGCGGATATTCTCACGAAGGCACTAGCAAGGGTGAAGTTTATCGAGATGCGGGAGCTACTAGGAGTAAGGAACTTAGAGTCTCGTCCAGATTAAGGGGGAGAATGTGAGTGGTTAATCAGTCTGGTTTGTTAGTTTGAATCCAAGTTGTTAGATAGAGTTCTAGTTATGGTAGAATACTAGTTAGTGGATAGTTTTTCTAGTTATTGGATAAAGATTAGAGTTGTAATCTTATCCCTATGTCTTTATATATATGTAAACAACCTTGATGAGTTTAGAAGAAAGTGAATAAAATCAAAATCAGTCCCTGCTCAAAAATCCATCCGGCCTGTGTTCATCAACCGAAACAGAGCCTTCTTTCTCTGGTTTTTCTTGCTGCTGTCCGTTCTCCCAGAAATCATTGTTTACAGGTTTTGTTTAGAGCTTACAGGTTGTGTACTTGGGCTGATTCTATTCTCAAAGCCAACATGCGTGCATGGTGCTGATCGACCCAATTATTAAACTAGATGATCTTTGAGGTTTTAGGAACAACGTACTTATGCTGTTGAATCTGAATTATCCATGCATGGCGCTGACCCAATTATTAATTAATTTGCACAGGTACAATTTTGGAGGGTGACAAATACATGAAATCCTTGTTTTCTTCCTATTATTTGAAAAAAATTCGGTGTGGACGAGATCGATCGATATTAAGAAGGCGTCATCATCACCGTTGTTGGATGGTGGTGATGATCCTCTAGCAGGTCTGTGTTTTTGGTCTCTCTCGATCTTTCTCTTGATCTAGACCTTTCTCGCCTAATTAGGTTATTTGCGTCTGAGCTATTATTATTGTTACTGTTATAACTTGTTCAACTTCTCTATGTTCATAATTAATGCCGTGGATACAAGAATAGACAATCTTTAAGGAACTCAAGAATTACTTGCGTTGCTGAATCATGATCAATTATTTTGGTGTTTGTTGATGCCTTTTATAAGCTATTCTCTTTAGAGCGTGCTGTATAATTATTATTTGTTTTGAGTACGTAGAAGGAAGTAAGTAAGGTACATGGAAACTATATGATGTTGCTATTTTAGCAGCAGTTCATAAACTATTGGGTGATTACATTATTGATTGAATTGGGTTTCTAATTAATGTCATCTCCACAGTTAGGATTGATTGATTGCGGATTCTGATGGAGAGAAGAGCATCTGCATGGGGGATTAATTGTCCACTAACTAATCAACCTCGCGAGCGAGGATTAATAAACAAGGATCCATTAATTAGTTACAATTCATATATAGACAGTTAAAACTTTTTATTCAATGTTACCTGCAGCTCGATCTGGCTGCAAACAATAAACAATCCTGGAACAAATTTTCACTGTAGCCTGATTTTAATTTTTTATTATCAAAATCGACTGTGTATCCTTTTATTTACTGAAATCGACCGGTTTTCTCGCCACGTCAGCGTCGTGGCGAGAAAGCTGGTCGATTAATTTTTAATCGTCTTCGTAAACAGTCGGGGTTGGCACCCCCGACTGTTTAGTCCATCGCCTGTTAAGAGGTTAACTAAATGGTCGGGGTTGGGAACCCCGACCATTTAGTGAAGCTGTTAGCGGGCGCTGAACTAAACAGTCGGGGTTGCCAACCCCGACTGTTTACGAAGACGATTAAAAATTAATCGACCAGCTTTCTCGCCACGACGCTGACGTGGCGAGAAAACCGGTCGATTTCAGTAAATAAAATCCCAACCCCGACCATTTAGCAGAGCCCAGCGATAGCTGGGCTGAACGACGGACAAAATGGTCGGGTTTGGGAACCCCGACCATTTCGAAATAGGTCTCTTACGAAATGGTCGGGGTTCCCAACCCCGACCATTTTGCAGACCCCATTCCAGCCCACATTTACTTGGAAAACTCATACTTCCTGTAGTACAAAATGTAATCACAAATAACACATGCTAAAATGCAATCATACTCCTGTTATCAATTCACAATACAATCACAAACACAAATATAATACGTACAATTCATATTCGCAAACTTAACATTATATCAAATCCATCGCAACACAAACAACATATCAAGTCCAAATTGCAACTCAAACGCAAACATCCTATCAAGTGCATCGAAACTTAACAAATTTCAACAATGCCCTTTCCCCTCCCTCTTCCTCTCCCTCTCCCTCTCCCTCTTCTTCCTCTCCCCCTTCCTCGATCACCTTCGACGTGAGCTCGGATAAGTTCCTCGTCCGGTTGTGTGTGAAGTTGGGAGTGCATGTTATCCGCGTCGTCTCGAACCTCCTGTGAACATTCGGCCTGAGTCTGCTGTGAGCCGCCAGCTTCATCATGCGCACAGCTTGATCCCGCCCCCGTGTGATCTCGTCGACGTCGCCGCCCATACTCAATTGGTCGCTCCTCCCGTCCATCACGGCTTGCATGACGCGTCCTCTGAAGAGCCGACCGTATCTTTTTTATCATTCGAAGGAACATGTTCCTCGGCTCCTGCTCGGTAGTCGTGCGCAATGCGTCATGTGCCATTCCGGAAAGCTCTTCGAGCTCTTGTACCTATAAAATAAAAACCGAAAGAAAATTATTATCAAGTGGATGGTGAGAAAATAAAACTCAGAAAATAATTGTATATTTTTCTTATACACTTACCAACTCTCTCTCGACTGGGCCTCTTGGTATGTACTCCTTCGGGGCTTTGTTTTCCTGAAATATCCACCGGCGAGTAATCCCCCAATACCACCGTAGGTACACACCTAGGTCAGGTGCATCAGCCCTCTCCATCACTACCTGTTCCTCCCTTAAAACCCACCTATGGATGTAATTTTGGCGAATTATTTGCCAATTAGCACGATGTGCACCTTTTCTTGGATCTCTCTCTATTCTCTCCACAGGCGCTGGAATATGTTGCCGTAGTCCAAATTGTCGAAGCACACGGTCAGGCAAGTGCATTTCGACAATCTCAAAGCATATAAGGGGGACGCGAGCACGCCATACATCCTCACCTTCTCGGCAAATATCCGGTAGTGACTCCAACACTAGCTCGTAGGGCATCCATTTGACCTATAAAGAAGATATTATGAGATATTGAATGAATATATTTAGATATTGGTAACAATTGGTCGCATAATTGAATATATTTAGATATTATAATTTTTATACCTGTTCATCCTCCATCTGATCAAGCTCATTTCTGTAAAAGTTTTCATGCCCCTTTGGAGAGGTTTGCCAAGATCTGGACACATTCCATCTATTTTATATACAACGGGTTAGTATATATTGAAATAAAGCACTAAAATTACATGCATCTTAATAATACCTGCAGCCTAACGGAATATGCCCATCGAGAGCGCGGGCCTCCCTCAAATCAGGTGTTCCCATATGCAATCGCTCCCATGACCATATCTGCAGCAAAGTGAGGCAGCCCTTCAATTCTTTATTTTGTACGAGTGCTATTTTCGTCATCTCTCTATACAAGTAGGCTAACACTGCACTCCCCCAAGATAACTCTCCACACTCTTCTAGGTCCCCAAGAAGCGGTAACCATCTCACGTGCACGGAATCCTTAGTGGAATCCGGAAACAGAATAGTACCGATCATATGTAAAATATATGCACGGGCATAGCGCTTAATGATCTCATCAGTCGCATCGATCGGTACATTCTGAAAGTTATTCCTTAACCATTCGAGTTTGATCTTTCCCCCCTTCATTGTAGGAGTGTGACCCAACAATTCTTCACACGTAGTGCCATAGTGGAAGTCATCGGTGCCCGTCACTGCATCACCATCTACTCTGAGGCCAAGTATAACCCCAACATCCTGTAAGGTAATCGTCGCCTCTCCTTGGCGCAGATGGAAAGTATTTGTCTCGGGCCTCCATCGTTCAACCAATGCCGTCAAAAGTGCCCAATCAAGTCTTACCCATTTAATTTGTGAACACTCAAAAAAGCCGGCTTGACGCACATAATATTGTATCTGTGGATCCGTCAACTCCCAGCTAGAATGTGCACGGGTATGATCGACAATAGTAATACTCGGGGCCTGCATGTAGTAAACAGTGCAAATGTTCAGTAACAATCAACTACATTGAAATTTATATATAATTGAAAATAATAAAATTGCACTTTACCTCCCCAGCGTCTATCTTCGCGGATCGGTGGCGCTCTTGGTCATAAAGAACATCACGTGTCAATGGACCCGCCTCCATAACTGAAATATCTGCACATATAACGATGATACATTAATTGATCTATAATTGAGTTAGAAAAAAATTGATTTTACTATAAGCATTGATTTATAAGCATTGTTTGACTATAAGCATTGATTTTACTATAAGCATTGATTTACAAATGTATAAAATTGTACCCATTAATTGCTATCTATTTGGATTGGTCGGGCAATGAGATCTTCTATGCCCGGCTTGTCTGCAATATCCACATCTATTTTTTTTCGGAGCTCCTTCCCGGCCTTCATCCATAGTACCTTTTAAGCGTACTGATCGTGGGCGTCCGGCTTGTCTCTTATAGCTTGGAGGCACCACATGCGGCCCGTTATAGTGTGGCCAATAACGACTATCATGTACGGGGTGGAAACACTGCTTATATGCCTCTCTATAGTTGCTTGATTGATACCACTCAGAAGCGTATGTGTAATACGAAATATTTGCACCCCCCGATTGCTTGGACGTAACCGCTATGACATGTGGACAAGGCAATTTTTGCAATTCTGGTATGTTACAGGTGCATGTGCAATGTGCACCTCCCAAATTGACGGTGTAATTGTGACCATGTTTGTCTGTAACCTCCCATTCATCTACAGCAAATCTAACAATCTTCGTGCCTCTCGCCTGCTTAACTCGAGCCTCTAAAATCGCCTCATTTTTTGGTGTCAAGAACGAGGCCCACATTGCTCCATCCTCTCGCCGCTTGACAAAATAGTAATTGAGCCTATAAAATGTCCTCGCAACCAACGCCTGTATGGGCATTGCCCGAGCCCCCTTAAGTACCCCGTTGAAGCTTTCAGAACAATTGGTTGTCATCATGCAGAACCGATTCCCTCCATCTTTACTGAGTGCCCACCGGTCGACGTAATCACTGCCCAGACTTCTCTCAATCCAATCATGTGCAGCTTGAGATGTTGCCTTGATTTGATCGCGTATCCGATCATACACATATGTTTCCGGCGTACAACCCGCTTGCCACAGAAGGTTTTGTAAATGAATCTGACTAAAGCTCTTTTTGAAGTTAGCTCTAATGTGTCGTAAGCAATAGCGATGATGGTGATGAGAGCCAAATCTCCTCCACAATGCTTTTGGAATACCTTTCATCCTATCAGATATGAAAGTAATTTTTCTAGGAGGCAACACATTAAAAATATATAATTGAATGCAAGAAAAAAACCACTCCCAATTTTCACTGTTCTCGACCTCCACAACGGCGAAGGCCAAAGGAAATAAGCCACCATCTGCATCAACTCCTGTAGCAACAAGCAGTACACCCTTGTATTTACCGTATAAGTGTGTGCCATCAATGCTAAGAATAGGCCGACAAAATTTAAACCCCTCAATAGAAGGCCCAAATACCCAAAAAACGGAGGTGAATTGATGAACTCCCGGATCGATCTCTTTGGTTATGAGTTTGTATTCAGATCCAGGATTACTTCTTTTGATCGCATCAAGATATTGAGCTAGTGTCGCGTAAGACTTGTCCCAATCACCAAATATTTTTGTCATCGCAATTCTTCTTGCATTCCATGCTTTAATATACGAGATTTTAATGAACTTGGTATCAAGCACTTTCTCAATTATATTATCGGGCGTTAGATCAAGCTTCTTCCTTAATTTTGGCATAATCAACCGCGCTATGTAAGAGGCAGATGCACCACTGTGATCTTGCTCTAATATTGGATTGACACATGTGTGAACACCGCAGTATTCACTGATCCTAAATTGAAAATTGTGTTTCTTTCCTGCAAATGCATATAACTTCCAAGGACATGAGTAATCAGCTTCATTTCCCTCGGTCAGACCTGTTCTTTGTGTGTTCATAAAACATATTGCATCATAACTTGTGCGATTGCTTTTAACTTGCTTGAACTTGAAATTCTTTTCGAAAGAGTATTCACGAATAGCATCAACCAATTGGTCTTTAGTCTCGAATAAATCACCAACTTTAAAGGGGGCGTCATCATCTCCTCTACGAGTTGAACTTTCACCGATGCACATATCTTTTACTGTGGAAGAACGAATCCACTCATCATCTTCAAACTCGTCGGGGGGTGGTTCTTCATACTCAACGTAGTCATTATTAACGTAAGCCTCATCAGGCCATTCCGGATTATCTTCGACATCTTGGGTAACAAATTGCATACTATCAACTGGTGCACTATATTGTTCTTCACCTCCCGAGTCATTGCTTCTTTCATCCTCTTCGATTGATGCCCTACTTAACGGCCCCATATTTCCATAAGAGACTTCGTTATTCATGACATTTGACGTTCCACCGAATTGAGCCCGCTCCATTTCATTCGAAGAAGAAAGAAACCCATCGGAATTAACTCTCATATCTAACATGCGTGAGAATTCTCCTGGAGGTTTGAATATTTGGCACGGATTATGTGGTAACTTTTCAATAAACAATTCTACCGTTTGTTGCGACTTGCCCAATTTAAACATAATACTCATATGATAATCGTTCGAGATCTCCACTGCGGATGTTCTATCAATAGCTATGGGCCAATTGCATATAATTTTCAGTCGGTATTCTCGTGGGTCAATTTCCGTAACTCGGTGTAATTCCATAACCAAGTCGTAGTAACTATATGATTCCGAGATCATTAATGGCGTCGTTACCCCTCCGACGTACATTGGCATATTATTCATCCCATAATTAATTTGCCCACCATAAGAACAAACAATAAACATCATATTGTTCAACCTATTCAAAAGAAAATTATATCATTTAAATATAAAAAATTAAATTAATATGCAAATAATCTCACATAATTTCAACCAAAAACCCTAATTCCCAAATTGTAAATCCTAAACCCTAAAATTGAACAATTGAACATTATATGCCCTAAAAGTTAATTACATCGATAATAATCATCATACAAACGAATTTCACAGATAAATCTAGCCCACGAAATTCATTTATGAATGAAAACCCTAGCAAATTATTTTTAAGAAAAAAATCCTACATTTCTACAAGTTAAAAGAGGAGAGGAGTAGAAGAAATTACCAATATACGTTTAAGATAACTTTTGATTTGAAGTTCCGCCGAAGAAACGAGCTCAAAATTGAGATCTGAAGCTGGTTTTGGGAGAACAGACGGAAGAGAGAGAAGAGAGAGGCGGAGAAATGAGATGGGATCGGGGAAAGGGGGTTGCGGTGGCTTTTATACGGTGGTGGGGACCCAGAATAAGTAGTCGGGTTTCCCAAACCCGACTACTTTCGGGGTTGGCCCCCGACCAATTAAAAATGAGCTTCGAAATGGTCGGGGTTCCCAACCCCGACCATTTTGTCCGTGGTTCAGCCCAGCTATCGCTGGGCTCTGCTAAATGGTCGGGGTTGGGAACCCCGACCATTTCGTAAGAGACCTATTTCGAAATGGTCGGGGTTCCCAAACCCGACCATTTTGTCCGTCGTTCAGCCCAGCTATCGCTGGGCTCTGCTAAATGGTCGGGGTTGGGAACCCCGACCATTTCGAAATAGGTCTCTTACGAAATGGTCGGGGTTCCCAACCCCGACCATTTAGTTAACCTCTTAACAGGCGATGGACTAAACAGTCGGGGTTGCCAACCCCGACTGTTTACGAAGACGATTAAAAATTAATCGACCAGCTTTCTCGCCACGACGCTGACGTGGCGAGAAAACCGGTCGATTTCAGTAAATAAAAGGATACACAGTCGATTTTGATAATAAAAAATTAAAATCAGGCTACAGTGAAAATTTGTTCAACAATCCTGTGATACATTCATTTGGCCGGCTATATATACATGGATATATATCGTCAGTGTGCACGTACGTACGTATGCATCCTAGCTCAAGCGAAAAGAGGTGGAATACTCTGCTCATTCCTAAAGAAGTTCTGAGGATCAACCTTACCCTTGACAATAGCCAACCTCTTAAAATTCCCTCCAAAATACTTCTCCCCCCAAACCCTCGCTTTTTCATAGCTCGCCTCCTCTCCATCCTCGTTCCTCCCCAGATCCAAGTCCTTGTAGTTATAATAAGCCCCCCTTGGGTTCTTGGTCACAAAAGGAGTCATGAAACTGTACAGATCCTTCATCCACTGCAAATGCTTCTGCGTCTCTGATGAGTCTGCCCAGTTCATATCATACTGTATATTGTACAAAAACCCTCGTCGATACGGGAAGGGCGTCGCAGAGGGGGGTATCTGATCCATTCGACCGCCGAAAGGCTCTAAAATCAAAACCAAGGGCTGGTCTTGAGGAGCCATTATAAACTTCCATATCTTCTCTAGGTTTCGTGCGTTAATTGGCGTTGTGACGAAGTCTGACTTGGCTTTGAAGGAGTTGTTGGAGGAGCGTGTTCTAGTGAGGAGGGCTTGGGGGTTGTTGAGGGGCATGGAGTTGAAGAAGAGGACTTGTTGGAGCCAGTTCATCTCGGTGCAGTCGGAGGCGGCGAGGCCGAGCTCAGGGAAGGCGGTGGCCACGACGGAGAGGAGCTGGTTTTTGTCCCCGAGGAAGAGGGAGTTGAAGAGAACTTGGATGCTGGGCTGACCGTTGTCTGTTGTTCTTTGGATTACTAGCCTGATGAAGAGGTTGTCGTCGAACTTGTGCGCGATTTCTTGCCACCTGCGTGTAATAACGCTGAAAAATATGAGAACTTGGATGCTTAAAACATTTATCTTTTGTAACGATGTGAGGGAAATAGAGCCCGCTAGAAATGTCTGTACGCAGTTCGAATAGTGCTACGTAGAACCAAGCCCAATTTTGTAATCAAGTGCGCTCACCTTGCCACAAGTTCGGTAGCGTTCTGACGCAAATTTCTGAAAACATTAAACGCAGTCACAACCGGAGGAACATCCACCAACTTGATCTTGAACGCCGTCACCACCCCAAAACTCGCTGCTCCCCCGCCCCTTATCGCCCAAAACAGCTCCTCCCCCATAGAATGAGTCAGATTCGAAGACAACCTCTAATATTTCAAGCACTCGTGCAAAACCTGTCCAGTCACGGCCGTACGATATGCAGACTTATCACCGGCCGCAAGTGCGTTCCCATAAATACTTAGTACTCGCGATAATACGAAGTACCTCACACATACTCTTGTGGTAGGTGTGCTGGGTGCCTGAAGACCGTACGATCGAGGGCGCAAAACTATCGCCGGTGAAGTAGTAATGCAGCAGTGCCAAAATTTTTGGTCATGCCTCGGCAGACGATATAAAAGTATAAATAGACGACGAATCGGAGTTCTTTTAAGGAGATAGGTTTATCTTATTAGTTATAAAAAAGTTATCGACTGAAGAATTAATGCGAATGGTATGCTTCATAATAAAGCAAATATAAAGGGCTCTTATATACAGTGCAGGCATACAAGTCTCAACTCTGATATAAATCGGCAAAATTGGGAAGCAGGAACAAAACCGAATGAGTCACAAACCAAGAAATACAAAACGTAAGATGTGATAAAAATATCAAATCTTATCGGTCGGGAAGCGGATGCGCATCCCCAGCTTTGGCACCCGAGAGGGATTCGAACTTCACAGATCGATAAGTTATCGCGATCACCTTAGCGAAGGAGCATGCAGCTAGCTCAGAGACGCGAAAAGAGTTGCTGCGGCGGCGGCAGTTTGTAGGCAGAGCGGTGTTACTTTATTGTGGTGTCGAGATATCAAGGCGGAAATCACGAAGAAGCTTATGGGTGACTCGTCAGAGTCATTTTGGCTCAATTAGCGCTGCTCAAATCAGTAAGAGTCTGAAGTCGCATGGCGTAGACCAGAAGACCGTAGGTTATCGCGCATTCGTGCGCATGGGCACAACGCAGAGGTAGCAAACGTGTGGTGGTTTAGGAAAACCGCGACGCGAGAAGGGTGCTGGGAACCGAATGAGCGTGTTGTTACGGTGTACGTCAGCTTGAGAGGGGAGTACCGAGTAGACGAAAAGTCTCTTAGAGGGTGAAAGGATCCCTGAAGGAGCGTACGAAGATTGTGAACAGGCAGGCTGGTGAAAGAGGCATTGTGATCTTCCGAGATAGTACGGTGATCTCGTGAAGTTTTGAACATATCTGAATAAGTTTGCAACTTAGCGTGTCTTTATGAGGAAAGCATTGGGTGCAAGAGGAGCTGGATAGACGCGGGTGCCTGAAGAGCAAGTAGGATGATAGAAATATGCTGTGTGTGAGGAGAAGAAAGTAAATTGTACGCACACTCTGGGTTCTATACTAGAGTGTTTAGGCGAAGGGGTATGTTACGAATGTTTTCTGTGCATTATTGATTGAAACTATTTTTTATTTTGTTGTGGAATGGGTAGTCTCGGAGGGTGGAACTTAAAGGTTTGGTTGAGGTAGTATGATTTATATTAGCAGAGGGGTATTGTGTGATTAACAAATATAGAAGGTCGGGTGGGTCGGTCGTGCGGGTGGTGCGGCGCGGGGTGCTGTTTTCCTTTTGGAGCTCTTCTATTACGTAGCCGAGTTGGCATTCAGGAGAAATATGATAGCCTACATCCAAGAGGTCTTATAAGATACCGATATAATACTTTTATGGCTTGTATAAAGGCCAAAATGTTAGTTGATCAGCCAGCTATATTAAACTAGATTTTTGTGAGTGAAGTGATGACTTATATAAGTAGTAAATGGATCATAGTATAGAAAATAGAGCAATATACTTTATATCTTAACAACGGATATAAATAATTCTCTCTAAACTATCTATGTAATTAATCATATGCCAGGATCCTTTTCATGGATTGGAAGTGTCAGGTAATCATACTGTCCCTACGTCCAGGAAGCCATCGGAGCGTAACCTCTGTCCAAAAAGCTTGTATTTTGTCCAAAATGGGCACTCCGGGCATTAGTATTGATGAAATTTTCTCTCAATATATGCGTTGTAAGAGCAATGCGTTGCAGAAGATACTGTCCGTCACCGAGCACTACAGACTAGAACGACATTGAACGAGTCACGATGGGCGCACTTAGCGATTTATTTCAGGGAACAGCGATGGGCAATTTCAAATAGTTAGTTAGACCAGAGCCACCACACAGCGTTGATGTGTTAGAGTAATTAAGTCTACTCCATGACATAACATTTCCCATATATTCCCTGCTAATTATGCCTGACTTGCATGCAAATCTCTCTCATATAGATCATTTAAGGAACGTAAGACAAACGAGGTAAGAAATTCTTTAGACGCATCAAATACTAAGGATCATTACCACTGTCAGATTTAGACATAGCTTTGGATCAATTATATGAAATGGAGTGCAAAGGGCAGTGCTGATTCGGACTTCGGCGTAGAGAATAACTTGGTCTCTTGTTTGACTTAAAGGTTGAGATGATCGAAAGAGCAATGGAACCACGACGCCATTCGCCATTGGCAATAGAGGTGACAGACTATGGTGGAACACCCTTTAGTCAGGTAAGGTGTAAACTACAGACTTCATTGATTGGCACATGTTGAATTAAAAATTCGGGGTGCCCAAATATCGTGGTTTTTTTGTGCGCACTCCTTCTCAAAAGGAACCAATATATTATGCTAATGCTTTTTTTTTTATGTACGTTTTGGTTTATCGATAGACTTTATTTTTTTGCATATAAAACCTGTCGTAGTTTTTGGGGTCATTTTCTGGTAATATCTACGACCCTGCGAAAAAAGATTCGTGAAATTATAGATGCTCACCCGCAAAAACAATATAGAGGTCTCTGTGGATGAGAATCTGGCTTGAATTACGATCAGATGCTGTTGAGAATTAATAATACAAAACGTCTCCCATGCTTTATCGAAGACCTATCTCTGGAAGAGGAGAGAACTGGACCTGTCGGGATAAACTGCTCTTAACTAAGGTCCAGAATTTGAAAAAAAAGGAAACACCAAGTAAGGTTAACTAATGATTTTAATGATAATTCTCTCTGTGTTACACTACGCGAAATAATTAGTTGGGAAGTAGAGAGTCAATCCCCACAAAAAAAATATATAAATGCGTATAACTACAAGATAATATAATAACAAATATGGTCCAGTTCAGAAGAACACTGGAAATTTATACATAACAGTCAATAGAAAAAATGGGAACAAGATTTTTTTATAAAAAGATAAAACATTATAAATAATCAAAACCAATTTCATATCCTATGTTAAGAACAACAAAAGTAACTTGTCAAATATATATATATAAATAAATATATATATATCATATATAAATATATATATATAAAATATATATATATATTAATAATATATAATATATATACATATTATATATAGAAGAAGGAGAAGAGTATAAACTTGTGTCAACTTAGGTCTCCACTAAGTTTCCTTACCCATTGGATGATCCATCGATGATTGGCTTGTTTGTGAGATCCGCTCCGGTTGGAACTTGTACCCTTACATATTAAAAAACCCAACAACACCAAATTTGTGGTTAATCCGTCCATGGGGTTTGGACCCTTCATCCAACTCGGGTATCAATTTTAATTGGTTTCATAATGAATAAGAACTTTTTACCATGGGCTCGACGGGGGTCAAACCATGGAACGATTCAACGCCAAATTGTGTGTGGGTTTGAATATGTAGAATCAAGTTCAACGGAGGCGGATCATCCCACAAAGCAGCTCAATAAGTGATCATCAATGGGTAAGAAACTTAGGGACGTCCACTTAAGTTGACACAAGTTTTAGCTCTATAGATATATATAATATATATATATATATATATATATTAAATTATATAATATATATATATATAATATATATATATATATATATATATAAATATATATATACTATACGTTATTTCTCCGGTTCTTGACTATCCAATTTTGTGTACAAGCATTTTTTTTTATCCAAATTTATTTTCTTTGTGTTTATATGTTGGGTGGAAAATTAGATGGTGTGCTAGTAGAGATAATTGATTATGTCTTTTATGGGTTCTTTAGATCTAATTTAGCTCTTAATTAAGAAGCCTTTAAGTTGCAAAATATCGGTTGTTTCCTTAAAAAGTTGCATTAAAAAAGCTTAGATTAATATCTCCAACAGTTGGTTCATAAATGAACTTTAATAGATGGAGTCAACGCGCTAGTATTTGCGAGATGTATAGTTAGGAATTGGAAACCTTCACGTCAATTAAACTAGCAAGTCTTCTACATACAGCCTGTTTCCCGTGAGTTGTACCTTAGGAAAGGATATTTGCACGTGTGTATATATGGACAATTAGGATGTGTGCTTTATATCGAAATTAGCTGTCAAAGCCATTCTTGAACTTCCTGTTTTGAATACGATTCGATTCAAATAAAATAACCCGCAGGCTTTCCTTGACTCTTTATTTTATAGATACATTTGTAACTATATAAGGAGGGAGGGAGGGGGATTATTGGTGATCAGAACTATAAATGTTTAGATGTGTTAGGAATTAATGTTGATTCTGTGTCAAGGAAGCAATGAACAGTCTGACAGTCTGATCAAGGAGCAATGCACAGAGGCGAATGGACTGATATACAAAGGAAGGTCTGATTTGCAAACCTCTTGGAAATTAGGGAGCTATCTGCAAAATAGAGTCCAGCTCAGCAGGCCAATAACTGTTTCAAGTCCAGCTCAGCTGAAACAGTTATTTTCTGTTTTGTTGTTACAATTCTGTTTTGTTTGTTAGACTGGTGCACGTGCACAAACAGTGCACTTTCCTTTTGAGTGTTTCTTTTGAGAGGGAATTACGCTGTATAAATAGAGTGTTGTAAAATCATTGCAATCTATGAAAAGAATTCTGTTTCCTCTCACTTTAATCTTCGTTCATCTTCTTCCTTAATTCTTCCTAAATCTCTCAGTTCTCTCCCTCGTTCTCTCTTCTTCAAGTATTCAGGGTAACTATGGCTAGGAACAGTTCATCAAGGATCAACAGAGGTTCGAGAGCCTCACAATTGGTATCAGAGCAACTGGAATCTGAAGCAGTCCCTGTTGA